GGAGAAGGGAGGAGATGGAGAAGGAGGACACCTCAGAAGCCCTCAATAAAAACAGGGAGGAAGGTAACGAAAACATCAAAGCTGCTGAGTCTGGTGCCAGGAGCAGGGGCCTTAAAAGCTGCGTGACTTTGTCATTTGAGTTAACCTCTCCGATCCTCAACTTCTTCTTTGTGAAGTGAGAATAAGATTTTTTTGTGAGTTTGTTCTGAGACTCATAAGTGACGTATGTAAAGTTGTTGGCTCCTGGTCTCTTTTATCATCTGGGGTTAAGCTTAGAAGTGGGCACAGGTGCTGGCAGCTGTGGAATGATGGGGAGGTTGCAGGGTGGGTCCCCTGGTCACAGAGAGCTCCTCACTGCCAGGGCTCAGGCGCCCCCTCACTGGAAAGGCCTCACTGCCAGGGTTCGGAGCTCCCTTACTGGAGAGAGACTTCCTGAGTGTTGCAAGCTACATGGACAGACCATGTGAGATCAAGCGTCCAGACCCCTGGGCCGAGTAAATCTTGGGCCAAGATTGTGTGGCTTTAGGGGACATTATGGAGCCTCTCTGGGCCTCAGCGCCTCCTCTGTAGACTGGGGACTGTGGTGGTGATAATGGTACCTATGCATACGGAGACTGACAAGTACTGATGAAACAGAGCTAGGGATGTCTGTCTCATGTCAAAGGGCTTTCAAACAGCTCTTATTTTTAATAAAAATCATTATATCAGTATACATTAATATGTAATTATATTATGTTAATATATAATAATTATATATTAATTATATTAATTATTAAAATATAATAATAATTATTAGCTAGCCCTGGGAGAAGGTTATCATGAATTTTTTTGGAGGGAGGTCAGATGACAGCTCGTCAAGGTAACAGAGTGCAAGAGAAGAGCCTGCCTCGGTTGGGGGTGGTCAGGGCCTGGGCACCGCAGGGAGACACAGGGGCGCCTGGGGGAGGACTGAGACCCCTTCTCTTGCTCAGTCCACTTTTTCAAGTCAACAATGACATGTGTGCCAGGCTCTAGCCCTTGATCACAGCTTCCCCTGAGAGGGGCATCTGTGGGATGTCTTGCAAGGCCGGGGAGATCTGGAAGTACATCCCTTCCATAGGCTGCATCCCAGCGTCAAAAGGAGACCTCGGGGGCCCACCTGCCCCTCCGGCCTGCCCCTGTCCCCGGCCCAGAGAACTGAGCTGAGCCACCTGTCTGTGCTACCAAAAACACACCCTGTCTGTCCCAGCTTGAGTTCCACAGAGTAAGTTACCTGAGGGGCATGTGCTGGCCAGCGGCCAAGTGGCCTCATCCATCTGCCCAGGGCAGCGTTTTAGAACAGGGACTGGAAATAGTGTCCAGGTTGTAACGAGTTTTTGGAAGAGGGGAGGGGTGGAGAACAGAGGAGGAGGGGGCCGGGCAGTGGGAGAGAGGAGTCACCCGAGGCTTCTCCTCTCCGGCATTTAATGGGGAAATGAGATATTTCCCAGGCAATTGCTTTTAAGTGACTATTGAAATTAATGCCTCGTTCCAGCAGCACATCTTTGTTAGAACATTAGCCTCTCAGAGGGAGCAAGAAAATGAGAAGGGAAGAAAAAAAAAAAAAAACCTACCTGAAATGAGCCCAGCAGAGAAGGCTGAGGACAGAGGACGTGGGGCCCCGGAGTGCTTGGGGGTGAAGTGACTCTGGGATCATGCCAGGGGCCTAAGCGCTGAGTAGCCTTGGTGGCCTGGGGAGACTGTTCTGCCTGAGGGCCACCCTCCTCTGCCACCTGGGGCCGGGGTATGGTTGCTGAGTGACAGGACAACTTGGGGTCCACTGGATGGGCCCTGGTGATGTCCCTGCTCGGCCTGTGGGCTCCCTGGCCTTCTGAGGTGGCGGGGAGGCTCTGGGCCCGCATGTGGTCTCTCACAGGCTTTGGGGCCGCATTCCCAGTTTCTCCGTTTCCCCGACATTGGCGGTTCACTGAGATGTTAGGGACCCCCATAGTGATAATAACCGCTGAGATTTATGAGCGCTGCCTACCTGTGAGGCACAGTCCCAGGAGGAGCAGCCTGGGTTCCTACTGGGGAGAACCCCTTGAGCCAGCGTGAAGGCTGTGACCTTCCCAGGTCTTACGGGTGGGGAGTTCACAGAGCCGAGACACATGCCTTGCTTCACTTGAGGCCTGAAAAGACTCCTGTTTGTTCTTTGATTTGGGTGGGGGCGGGGGTTGCATTTCCCCCCCTTTTTTTTTTTTGCTTTGTTTCTGTGCATGTATAGAATTGAGCCAAATGGAATAGACGCTTTAAACTCTGAATGCATTTTGCCATTGTTTTTTAAAAAGCTTGTTCTCATTTAAATTCATGGCATCAGTGAATGAGAGTGTTTATCTTACGATATCCTCACCAGCTTTATGTATTATGCTTTTCAAATTTGTGCCAATTTTAGAGTGGGAAAATGGTTGTGAATGTGAACTTATAAAAGAAAGAATTGTTGGCTGTTGTGAAAAATAAATATTTGTGTTTGTTTCCTAAAAAGTAGAGTTGGATCCCTAAGAATACCCAATATTGTCAAACAACAGCAGGCAGCCAGGTACGGTGGCTCACACCTGTAATCCTAGCCTTTGGGAGGCCAAGGCAGTGGATCACTTGAGGTCAGGAGTTCGAGATCAGCCTGGCCAACATGGTGAAACCCTGTCTCTACTAAAATACAAAAATTAGCCAGGGTTAGTTGTGGGCACCTGTGATCCCAGCTACTCAGGAGACTGAGGCAGGAGAATCACTTGAACCCAGGGGGCAGAGGTTGCAGTGAGCTGCGATCATGCCATTGTACTCCAGCCTGGACAACAGAACAAGGCTCTGTCTCAAAACAAAACAAAACAAAACAACAAAAAACAACAGCAGCCACCTGCTCCTTGAGCAGCCTTGAATGTCTATTCTCCTGTGAGCTCTGGTAAGGAAAATCCTCTTGGGATTTGCTGCCGTCCTCCCCTCCAGGGCTGGCACACAGGATGAGTACTACAGGCTGGATTTAATAGAGATGCAATCGGATACCTGCGACATGGACTCCAGCTGGAGGCTAGCACGCTCTGTCCTGCTTTGGAAACTCTAGAGCTAGAGTTTGGGCGTGAAGTCAGCACAGCTGATACAGTTGTCAGGGGGAGGGGGGTTGGTTGGCTGTGATTCTGAGCCACCGGGGCCACTTGGGAAGGTTGGCTTTGCTATGCTGCAGTAGGAACTTCTTGGACATGTAGTACCCAAAGTCTGGATATTCCCTTGCTGGGCTGCATGCATCCAGGATGAGTTAAACCCTGGTCCCACCTGCTCTGACCATAGCCCTCTCTGGAGCCTCTTCCAAGCCTCAGTGCTACAGGATGAAATTGACAGAGAGAGACCCTTTTAGGCTTGAGGAAAAGGACAGTCGCTGGATAACCAGAGCTGTGGAAAATAGGGACAAGGCTTGACCAGGCGAAGCCATCGACTTGGGAGAAGGCAGGAGAAGCTTGGGTCAGGTGGGCCTCCAGAGGGGCTTCTTGTCCCCAGAGGGGCCTTGGACCACAAGGTCCCGAAGCTCCCCTGATTCCAGGATTCTGCAAAAGAGTGAACCAAGAACAACCTAGAGCACTGGTCTCTGAATCAAAAACCACACAGCACCTCAGGCACAGAGGCGGGTACGGAGGGTACAGGCTGTTATGCACCTGGGTGACCCCGGGCATGTCACTGGGCCTAACTTCTTCACCTAGAAAATGATGGCTAGGGCAAA